CTTCAAAATAAGATTTAATGAGTTTTTTAGATGCTCTGCAGTTCTAAGTTATAAGGTTGACACCTCATATGTCGTAATCAGTGATAAAAAATTGTGAACTGGACCTAAACAATCGCCTGCATTAAAATTGCGAAATAGCGTGAAATAAATCACGAATCCCATTTGAAATCACCTAATATTCTAGTGAATTTTTTAGGTGCGACTTAATTTGATGGTTAAACTTTGAAATTGCAATGCCAATTTAGAATCCGTGAGTCAGCACCAATTTGAGAGCCAATCGATTCTAGTTCAAGATATCCTGAATACCTCTACTTTTTCAGTTTTTAACTCTTTTCTAAATCTTTGTTAAATATGGCCATTCGCCTTTAGAAATCACCTTAGCCGGGCTAGCCAAATTAAAAAAAGAACCTCGTGAGATGGGAACGATTCCAATTTGAAACACAATTCAAAACAAGCGATTCAAAATTGGGCCGAGTTTAATTGTTCTCGAATGAGTTTTTTGGACTTGGCTCGTTGTTGAGTCGAGTACAGGTGCAACTTGGGCCATTTAAAAAGCTGAAAGAAATTGGAAAAAGTAATAAAAATGTGAAATTAGTGTAAAAAATACACACACACCCATTTAAACTTGAAATTACACCCCCATTTAAACTTGAAATTAGTGTAAAAAATACACACACCCCCATTTAGACTGGAGATCCCATATGCACCCATTGGAAGCCTATGGACCTCACTAAAGTTTATTAAAAATGCCTTTTTCTTCCTCTCTTATTCCCGATAGTGTAAATCATTGTCCCTTCTCTTCTTAATAAGGGTGAGGATCTCAATTTTGTCTTCTTTTTTTTCTCCTCAAAAATGCCTTTTTCTTCCTCTCTTATTCCCGATAGTGTAAATTATTGTCCCTTCTCTTCTTAATAAGGGTGTGGATCTTAAAATTTCCCTTAACCCATCTCAAGCTCAGGTAAAAGAGGCAAATTGCATTAGGTAGGCAGCTAGAGTGAAACTTTGCTATTTTGTCAAGCTTGAACCTAGGCTTTTGGTCCTATTGAGGGTATGTCCATTGATAGAGAAGAATGAAAGAACATAATTCATGTAGCCGACCCTAAATAGTTAGGATAGACTTGATGTTAGTAATGATGAACTCTCACTCGTATCAAAGGTAAAGAGACATTATCTATTATTTAATCATGCAAATAATAAAAAAGGTAATGGATAGAAAGTGCAAGGGAAAGTTTCATGAAGTAGAGAGAAAATGGGAGAAAGGTAAAGAGAGAAACAGAGAGGTATATGGGGGCAGAAAGAGAAAGGGGAAGGGGAAGGGTTAGGGGAAAAAAGAGGAGGAGGGCCATGTGGTAGGTAGAGTGGTAGGTAGAGAAAGAGGGCAAGGGTAACAAGTAGAGAGAGTAAGGTTTGTAAGGTTTGTAGAGTGAGTGTTTTTTTTTTTTACCTTCCAATGTTAACAACATCAAACCTTTAATTATTTTATTTTATTGAATTGTAGGATTGTGACGTCATTTGAGATTTTGTAGTATGTCTAAAACATCATACTTCCCTAAAGTTGGGATGTCCGATATGTGAAACATTGGACTACCCATATTAAAGAATTGGTTCCTGTTTAGAGTCAATCTGATGTCACAAACATTAGATTTACCCAAATAATAAGTTTTCATTTAAAATACAGTATGATGTTCGGGTAATTGGGCTGCCATTCTGCTATAAACTTTCTATTAAGGATCAATTCAATATTTGTAATATCAGACCGACCCTAAATAGGGCTAATTCCTTAGTGTGGGGTAGTCTGACATTTAGACTCCAAAGAACCCTACTTTGGGGCAATATGATGTTTTGGAGATCGGCCGATTCCCGAGTGACTCCTAAATGATGTCATAGCTCTAGAACTGAAGAACATAAAAAAAAAAATTAAAAAATCAGTCTAATGTTGCTGACATTGCAATAGAGCAGACCTCAAAAAATAAAAAACTAAAGGATCGGAGCTAAGCAACTTTTATGAAAAATCGAATCATATACTGTAATACCAGAAATATTTTTCAGTATGGCCATAAGTTTCCCAAAGGAATTTAGCAATTAATTACCGCTAATTTTCATTATTTCACGATTTACGGAAAATAATTTCCATTTTTACTTTCCGACATCTAAGTTTTAACTGAATAAGAAAGGTAAAATATACAACTTTCATTTAAAAAAAATTAGGAAATAGAAAGTTACGACGGAGAGGCAACTTACAAGCTAAAATCGGTTACATTCCCGGAGACGTTAGAATCCCCAACAACCACCAAATGCCATTTTCCCTCTCTCTCTCTTTCTCTCTCTACTCCCTTTGCTTTTTTTCTTCTGCCCTCTCTCTCTCTCTCTCTCTACTAATGTCTTGTTCGTCCTT